CCATCCAAACACACCCATTCTGGCCACTACCGGCCCAGCCGGTTCCGGTGATACTGGGACATAATCGGGAGCTCGGTGGAGCAGTTGGAGCAGTCCCGCCGATACCTGTCCAAACACACCCATTCTGTCCGCTACCGGTGATAGTGGGGCATAATCCGGAGCTCGGAGGAGCAGTTGGAATAGTTGGAGCAGTTGGAGTAGTCCCGCCAATACCCGTCCGATCACATCCATTCTGGCCGCTGCCTGTCCAGTCGGTTCCGGTGATGCTGAGGCACGAAAGACTTGTTTTGGTGGCCGATATTGCATTTGGCCATGTATTGTATATACAGGGTCTAGAGTCAGTTAGCCATCGTAGAAGGTAGATATAGTGTCAGAGTAAGGTGTTACAGAGTGCGATTTTCTGTCTCGGCGTAGCTTGTTCCAGCAAGCAATAGTAGAAAGGTATGGAATGGGGACATCATTGATTTACAGTATGCTTCATGGGAGTATTAGGGCACCTTTTAAATAGCCAGATCTGGTGAGTAGTGGGTTGGTTATAATGGATAGTTGCCCATACCTGGTAGGTAGAGCACCCCTTTCGGAGCCGGAGGAGCCAATAGTGGCTGGGTCCAAATCAGGGACTTAGGGCCTAAAAGGCCCCCCTGCCTACAGTACCAATTCACATAAAAGAGATGGGTCCTAAACCTTTGTACAAAATTCGAATCATTTAAGAAAACAATACGCATCACACAATTTCACAAACCTACTCTCTTCCAACCTAAGATTTTCTCGCTGGACGAGTTGTCTTAATACCTTTCTGCTTGAGTTTATTCCTCGCTAGACCCTATTACAACAGAACTGTCGGATCACCGCAAAGCCCTACAACTCTCAACCAGCTCATCAGATTGTTGCGTTAAGCCGATAATGTCTGGCAAGAAGTTTGCCGAGATCGATAGGGTCCTAAATTGCGACACTTCGAAACCCTACCAAATCCTTGGCATCACGGAAACCACCTCAAAAGAGGAAACTCAGAAAGCCTATAGAAAGCTAGCACTAGCCGTTCACCCAGACAAGGTAGACCAGAACTGGAAGGAGCGGGGCACAAACGCATTTAGAAGTTAGTAAAATTACAGTCCCAAGATGAGTGCTCCCAAGCTAACCTTTTGTTTGCACTTAGGAATACAGGAGGCGGCTAAGACCCTGGGATTCGTGGATGAGCACTTTGCAGAAAATGCTTTTGGCCCCGAAAATGTTCCCAAAGAAGACACCAATATGGGTGAAGCTCCCCCGCCGGAAGACAAGATACCCCAACCTGGGGCGCCCCAGCAAGCAGTATACGAGAAAGCCACGGATTTGCTTAAAGCTCTCTGGGAGAATCCTGATGACCCAGGCACTTATAAGGAATTGGAATCGATGAATGAGAGTATAATCTCTCTGAACAGGTTGAGTGGCCTGAGCGAGGATGAAGCGGATAAATTTACCATTGAAATAAATTGGTTCAGGACCCAATTTAGTAGCGTGAAACTGATGGGGCAAGACACACTACCAAGGATAATGAACCAAGCAATCCAATTGTTCGATGAAAAAAACAAGCGACATGGCTACCCCGATAACTGGAACTTTCAACCATACGTGAGTGGCAGTCCAGTCTTTGGCCGGTCTACACCCAAGGCCGCGGAGAAGCGGAAGGAACAAGATGAACAGAAGGAACAAGACCAACAGAAGGTGCACGAGGGGCACGACGGACCAGGATTCAAGCCGGGGTACACTGCTAAAGGAGAGTTGATAGACGGACATCGAATGGTGGGATATGGGATGCAACTGCTTGTGGCAACGAAAGGGATGTCAGGCGATGTCCACTGGAAACTACTTCCCTCAAGTAGTTTTATCTGGACAGTCGTAGATGCCTACATGTCATGTGCCCACGCAAAGCAACTTGACGGTGGTAATATGGAGGGGGTGTATCTGAAGGTGCTGAATGTCGCACAGGCAACAGGCAAACCCGGCGCCCGCCGACTGCCGGTCACATTTGCACAAGTGGAGTGGCATGATAAAGAAGAGCCATCCTGGATAAGTCGATCAGCGTTGAGGAAGCTCTTGGGTAGAAAGCCCGCGGATGACGAAATAGCAGCTGTTACGGGGATAGAAGAGGTAGCGGAGCTCCCTGGGTATCCTCAGATGTCCCTTAAGCCTCCCCTTGAGCGCCCGGATGAGCCTCTAGAACCTCTACCGCCCCAAAATGTCACGCTCCCGCACTCAAGTCTGAGGAGCTAGACTTCGCTACATTCTTTGCGGCTTGGCAACAGTTATCTCAAAAGAAGGCCACGCCAGCCGAAATGTTGGCTTATTTGGCGAAGAATGCTACAGCAAATTGAGACACGGGGGGTAGAGCAGTACGCAGTAACTGTAAAGCGCAGAATGTCAGGGGTTGTGAGGGACTTGGATTGAGGATCTTTTTTTTTTTTTAGCAAGGATCTAAAGTTGCTACTATACTCCAGTAGTTTTTGTACAAGTGCCAGGGATAAAGTTTTCGTACGGGGCAGGGTTTATTTTGCGGGTTAACCTAAATTAACTGTTCGGATACTTTATCCCTATGCCTTGTAAGGGCAGATTAGGACGTTTTCGCACCAGACAGGGATTGTTTTGCGGGTCGAGACAAAGGTTATTTTGCTGGTTGACTAACTTAGCCCTGACTTCAACGAAAACGTCTCCCATAGCTCATATAATAGCGTTTTTAGGTATTCCAATTGTGACATTTAAATATCGAAAGCATATAGCACAATATTGCCTCAACTGAGACGATTCAAAATTGGCAATTTTCAAAACAGGTAGCATTTTGTATGCCACTTAACTCTAGTTCCGGATGTACTGTACTGTACCAATTAATAAGAGCTACCTACCTTGAATTTTGACCATTTTGGTCAGTACTTGAATCCACCAATCATGGCTTTTGTCCAAGAACTATACCAACATACTGAAAATCTGAGATCTCTCGATCTGAAATTCTAGAGAGTCGGGTCTGGGGGGAGAAGGGCCCTGCGCGGAGTTGGATGTGCCTTGCTTATATTGGATGACTCCTTTTGATACAGCTGTCACTCCTGGAAATGTGTACGGGGAGAATTTCTAGAAGTATATGATACTTCGTCGGCCGCCTGCCGCGTTACCTCCGCGGCCGCCACCGGGTACCCTATTTCCACAACATGGCCGGTTCTTTGCTTGGTGGGAAGATCGCAATTAAGTAGTTGGGACCCTGGATTAATTATGTCCGAGGTTTACACTTACATCACTCAAGTCAGCTAAGTCTCTGGCATCCCGTGGGCACTGCTGTGGGCGGAATTGGGGGTGTGCTCAAACGGCCTCTTGAAATTCCATCGGCTCACGCTGGTCGTGTGCCGGGTGCTAGAATGATCCCTTTAAACGCTCTTGCGACGGTACCCGCAAGGGAGGTTACGAATTCCAGGAGGTTTCTTTCATTTTCGGGCGATGGTGATTTACGGAGAAGTTCCCCTGGACATGTCTTTCTTTTACTATCGCGGGAGTACTGAAGGGGATGGGGATAGACATGGAAGAAGACGGCTATGTGTGGTGCTCTATGGGGGGGCCAAGATAGTTTTGTTATGTTTTATAATAATAATATTATCATAGTACTGTTTTTACTGTTAGTTTAGCTAAGGTGAGCAGAAGAAAACGGGGTGTATGGACATACCTTTCCTACCTTTCCTACAGTTACTTCATAAACGCCAACTCCTATTCTATTCAACTTACTCTACTCTGTCTCCGCGCCCCCTTTTTTTTCTAGTTACCCCCCAGGCGGAGATATATTTTAGTTGCATAATATAAAGGATCGCGGAGGAGGGGGGTTAATTGGTGGGGCTGACCTGGGACCATAGTCGGTCTGGTCCTTCGCCGTTTTGGCGCAGAGCGTCCTGGAAAAAAAAATGACGGGTTATGGTCCATAATGTGTCCGGCCTTCTGATTCCTCTTACAGGGGCTGACTGGACCATTGGGAACTGCGGGCTTGACTTTCTACAGGACCTTGGAATCGTTGGGAGCTGAGTGTCATGGAACTAAAAATCGCGGACAATCTGCAAAAGGGTCCAATCACCTCCGCTCATACTGCGCTTCTCTTCTGCTACGAGTGCGGCGTATAAGTAGGGTCGGTAGTACTGGCAACCAGAGCTCTACGACGGAGGGGATCGGGATTTGATATTCCTTCCTCGCCAAACATCTTTCATCTCGAGAACACTTCCTTCACCGGTAACGGGGATAAACACTCTTCGTATCCCTTTCCCGCCCTCTTCGTTCCCTGGGTTGAATTTACTTTAACTCGTTTACCTCTTCATCAAACATCTGTCTATTCTCATCGGATCTATCTGGTATGCTTGATTCTGAGGCTTCCTGTGCTCAGACACGCCCCTTCGACACTGCTCCCTCCTGGGAGAGAAGAGGGTCCTATCAGTTTGTCGACTAAAGAGACAGTCTGAGCTGGGATCCCATCTGTAAGTTTGCTTCTTTTTTTTTATCGGCCGCATTCGTGCCCTGTAGATGGTTTACTGACTTGGCAGCCTAGCTACTCTATATTGCAGCAGCCGCTACCAAGGTTTATGATTAGAGCGACAGGGTTGGCATCTCAATTTATGATGGTGTCAAGCCTAATGCGAGATGGATTATTGACATGGCGAGGGAAAAGGATGGCCAGCATTATGAGCCTGGTGAACCGATACTCCCGCGCGGGAAATTGACGTTTAGGCCGGGGACTAAGTTCATGGAAGCTTTTGAGTTGGATTGAGGGAGTTGGAAACTAGTATGAGGGTGCTAACTCTGTCTCTGTTGGATGAGCTTTCGCTACCTTTGTATGGGTTTGTGGATTTCTAAAGCCTTTTTAATCAATCCCAACGGACAGGTGGGGGGTATTTCATATTTAGGATTTAGAAGTCGATCTTGGCCTTCCGGATTTTAGCGTGGAAATATGCCAAGACACCGTACAAAAACCCTTCTAGATCACTATGTTTTGTATCCGTTTCTCGAGAGGGCGTGATTTTTGAGGAAAGTGCACTTAGCGGGTGGAGAGGATACTCTCGGATTGGAAAGTTGTGGATGGTTATAAAACGCGATGCCCTAACGGCCGATTCGCATGTGCTAGATTAAGGATAAGCCTGAGATACAATACATTTCACCACAAGGATACCATTTTAGCCCCTCACTTCACATAAGTTACTAATTACTTTCTAACCCCTCCAATAAACTCTTCAATACCCTCCTTACTGCAGCATCAACCTCCTCCCGAATAACCGTCCTCAACTCCTCCCCCGCACAACTCTGCCCCATGGACGTGCTCTGGCTCATAGCGGGTGTGATAAGTCCAGCATGCCTACACACATCGCTAGTATTGTGAGTGCTCGGCGTGCCCTCCCTAGCCGCCGCCTGAGGATCTAGTGTTTGCACATGGCTACGCGGTGAGGGCGGTGCCTCCTTGAACAACGGGGATGGAGGCTCGGAGGAGTCTGCAGGGCTTAATGGCGGAGGGGGGCCTGTTGATGTCTACATAATCAGTGGGTGCTTAGGAAGATTGGCGGGAAATTGGGCGGAAGGTACTTTACTAATACTGCGTAGGATCCCTCCGCGACGGTTCATAATGTCCCCGATCTCTCGTTCCAGGTGACGGACTAGCTCTTCGAGTGCTGAACTGCCACTCCATGCGCCAGACGTGCGGAGTAACTCCATACCAAATTCCGCTCGAGCGTCGTGAATGTTTACGTCGCAGGGGTATAGGGATGCGGAATATTCTTCCCGCAGCACGGTGCCGTTGGGATTGAGGATGGTCGTCGGGAAGGTTATCGCTTGGACACGTCTGGCGTAAAGGAAAGTGCCTAGGTCTTGAAGCCATGGTAGTTAGTCTGGCATACTCGCTGTAGAGCTAGCGTAGGGGGGTTAGCAGAGACTACAGAGGCTAGAAGTGGAAATGAGAGAGGTGAAGGAGGAATTGAAGAGGAGAATGGAGTAGAAGTCATTGGCAAGTAAAATGTAACCCACTTGTTCGGTTCTGCAGTATCATCTAGTGTACAATCATCATTCAAAGAGTTAAAACAACAATAGCAACGGCTCCATTAGAAGCCTTTCTATATTACAATTAATTAGTCTCTATTAGTGTCTCTTCGGCCTCACTACCTTTACCTCCTTCCTGATGCAGTCGACAAATGCACGATATGCGATAGTTACCTCCATTGCCGCGGTGACGGGCTCCGTATCTTTAACGCCGGGGTACGTTTCGTCGAATCGGGAACGCTCCAAGGCTTTGATGAACCTGGTGAATAGGGTTGAGAACTTTCTAGTTCCTTTCTTGTAATCCGATGCGAGAACACCAGCGTGGGTGTTTAAAAGTATAACCATTTTGTCATTGCCTAAACGAATTAGCCTTCTCACACTTCAAAACAAGGGAAAATTGCTGGGATTTTTTACTTATTTTATCCATCTTCTCCGGCAATAGTCCATACAATTTCTTGAAGACTGCGGTGTCCGTTCTACCCAGTTTTGTATACAGGGTAGCATCATAACGGGCGTCCCCCCAGTGAACGGTGGTTTTTCCATCGGCGATGATGTCACGGTCTTTTTTTGTATCGGTACCGAGGTAATCTCTTTTGTACGTACTAAGGTAGCGGGCTCTCACCAATTGGTAGGAGTCATCGGAGTGTAGGAGGTATCGTAGGCGCTCATCTAGTTCAGTGATCTTCAGGTCTCGGGCGGCGAGCTCTGAGTCGAGACACTGTGCGAGGCTTGCTAAATCGAGTCCGCGTTGGTTTCCAACAAATAGATTATCTTGAACTTCGTTGATGTGCAGTTCTTCCGCTTCGAGGGCATTGGTGAGAGATTTCTTGGCATCGTGTTTGAGGCTCTCCACCGTTCCGATAGATGATTTAGCCATCAAAATGGCATCAAATAACCCCCGTTCACTTCTTTCACTGAGCACAGTGCTACGTTCCCTGATTCCGATGGAGCCGTACATAGCATGAAACCGGGTGACTCTGAAGGCTCCGCGTACCCCTCTTGAGGCCACTAGAATGCTTTGCATGACGATCGTATTGCTTATTCTCTTACGTCGTTGGGGAGGGGCTGGAGGATCGAACGGTGGGTGTTGGATTGATGGATGTTTGCACAGGTTTCTAGTAATGTGCGGCCTAGGCTTGGCATCTTTAGCACTTCTATCAGCTTAGTAACGGCCGATTCCTTGTTACGAGTGACGCAACGTCCGTCCTCCCTACCAACGGGATTCCGTGGGCGTCATGTGCGTTCAAGTACGAGTACGGTACAAGGTGTGGAGAGAAGTAATGGAACAGTTATTTGAGGTTAACCAGCCAAATACATCTTTGTCTGTTTCGGTTAATTTGTTCCTACCCTTATACTCGTACTCGTACAGTATAGTCCTTGACCGATCAGTCAGAGGTTAAGGTAGAGCAGGGAAGTAGCGAGTGAGGTGAGGTGGTGTGAAGTCAAAGAGTGCGAGTATCGTAGGTTATATTATTTAGCGGGGGAAACTTGAATCCTCCTGGGTTTACATAGTGCTCTGAGTTTTGATTAGTTGTAATGCGAGCGTCCGATACGAGACAGTACTTGTAGGATAGGATACTGGTGGATGGACCAAGGTATGCACAGCTAGGCAGTGAAATATTGGTGCTATTATTTTAAGAGTACAACTACTGGGTGGAAGGTCTTGGCACCCCCCCCCATCTTGCACCAAAAGTATCCCACTTCACGAACTTAATGAGCTTGTTATATGGAGTAAACAAGGAAGGTACTTATTATGGATAATAGGAAATTTCCATGAAATTTAATTGTGTAACTTTTTTGTACTTTTAAGTTACATTGGTTAAAAGTGACAGTGAATATTCCACAGATGATGTTGTATGGATGTATGATATCATACCTTTTATATTTTTATTTGCATTAGAAGGGCTTGATAAACGCCTATAAAGTAAGGTACTTTTGGTGCAAAATGGGGGGGTGCCAAGACCTTCCACCCAGTACTTGTACAGCATCACGAAATACGAATGAGACGGAAAATCTTGTGGCCCTTGTTATATTATATAGGTTCAAATATTATTTTTTTCCCAAGAGCCTGTGTTTATTCGGGCGATTTACTATCCTGGGGTATGCGCAACTCTGGTAACTTGTCAAACTAAACCTACCCTGGGCTGAGGCAGATAGTAAATACCATATCGATCTATCTGTGGACATTTAGCAATAGATAGATTATCGTGTGTGATCTAGCTATTGTGATTTTCAGCAGCAGGCCTTCCCCTCCCTTCCTTCCCCACATCTACTCAATGTACGAGTACTGAAAAAGCCCGGGCGGGACTGGCCGCTTGCAAATACTGGCCTTATCTTAGCGATTATTCCTTTTGTAAATTCTTTGTTATCGTTAACCAGTTGATAACAGTGTTTAGCTTGTTTCGAGGACATATTTTGAGCCCATTTGGACTAGAAGAGTTGTTGAGCGGTATTGCATACGGGCGGCCACCTACGTTGTAGAGCATATTATATATTAGTAAAATCGGAGGTCTAGAAGTTTGTATGGTGAGGGTATACTAGGGTGCTTGGCAGGCTCGTGCCTGAGGTTCAGGCTCTGCTCAGCTTGCGCTAATGTAAATATATCTGAAAATGGCATATATGCTGGTAGAAACATTCGGGCGGGTGAGAGATACCGTACGAGTATATGAGTGCGTTTCAGCAAAAACCAGTAAAGTTCCTGGTTGTCACAAACCGGGGTGACACACCCCTCAATCAAGGCAAATTGTATTAATTCCTATTGAAACGGCTTTTTACCCTTTGTCTCCTAACTTGGGTGTTTGACGCCTTCAATCCTTTGTTTGCTCTAAACGAGAAAAAGTCAACATTCATAATGGTAAATTTCCTTTCTCTTGATTCCCGAAGGCCAGACAATAGGTGTTTAAAGATACGGTCTATGTTTAGACCCGAGGGCGGTGGAGGGAAGGAAACATCCTCCCTTCAAAAATTACCCTTGTTGCGATAGCCCCCATTTTAGATACCAGGGAATCTCCAGAGTCTTGACAACCATGGTCCGACAAAATATTCCAACCATTTTGCGAATTGACCGTGGCGAACTCAGACCCACCGTGATAGCTCGAGTGAATCCCGCCCTTCCTGAGCTGGGCATATTTCTTGGTCTCTTCACCCAGGATAGCTTCAAGGCAGCGAAGGTAGCTGAACGGGTGGCGGCGCTGGGAGCCTGGAGCGAACCTGTCATTGAAGATTTAGACAATGAGCATCAATTTGAGGGGCCTGCTCCTTGGGGTATCGAAACCGATCGCCCGTCCGATTCCCTATGGAAGCTTTACTGCGGATCACTTTCCCGGAGATACCCAAACCGGTCTCCTCTAATCATCTCAAACCCGATTTCACTAGAAGATTTACCTACCAGCTTTTTAAACTCTGAAATACGCCAGAGACTCCCTCAATGTTCAAACCTACTGTTTATTCTCCGGAGCAATCTCTATGAGTACTGGTTGGGGGATTTGGATTTCCACACCACGACGTTACACATTCTTACTCCCTGGCCGGCGAGCGCTGTCCCCGTACCGGATATCCTACTGTCCTATGGTGGCCTCGAACAATTCTTACGAGTGGCGATTAGAGATCCTGCCTGCAGGATAACTCTTGCCCAAAATTACAGTATCTCTACACCTCCTCATGCAATTGACCATTCCTGGCGATATGTCTTGAGGGCTATGACCCTATGGCACGAAACCAGTAACCCCAGTGACTTTTGGCCAAGGCCAGCGACCCCCATTGATTCCGAAGGTTGGGGTATACCAGGGTTTATGGGCAGACTAACAGAAACCCTTTACCAGGTAAGCAGGGTAAATTAAATGCGCCGCTAATACTAATGAGGTCGGTCTAGCAACAAAACGAGAATCCCGAAGGCCCCATAGAGGAACCGCAAGCATCAGGTACAGTACTTGTAGATATGCCACAGGAGGTTGCGCAGGTGCTCTTAGGTCTCACCCGTCATGTTAAGGCGATCGAGTTTGCGCAACGAGAGATCGATAATGGTGCCGAAGGGATCCTGTTCAGCGGTATCCCAAGCACACTGGATGATGAATGCAGTACTGAAGGCAATATGGTATGTCCAGTCGAAGTGACAGCCCTCCGTCGATCTCAAAAGCAAATCTTTTTGGGGTAAACTTAACCCTTCCCCAGAGTCCCAGAATACGGACATTTCGTTGTAAATTTGGACTAAGTTAAACCTCCAGCCGAACTATATCGACTGTCAAGATGGCAGATATCGTTTTGGCGGGCCATGCGGAGCGTTTCCGCAGGCAAATGGATACTCACCTACCCGGAGGTGATTTCTCTAAGTCATAGTTGTTCACCATCCTTGACCATTAACAAACTCATAGCTAGCGCTGAGCTGATCGCGGCCAACCGGGTGGCCACTGAATTACAATGGAATCGCGGGATTAATAAATTTATTATAGCCCTAGACGAAAATGGCCAGGGTTTCATCAAAGGCTTGGAACTGCCACCAAGAGTACATCAGAATTATATGTCAACTTGTGTCAATTCTACTAATATTTTCAATGCCCGACCTTCCTCCGCTATACTTCCTAATTTTGCTTATTTGGAAATTGACAATCAGCCTCCAATATTCTGGTTTCAAAGGCGCCGTCCAGATCTAGGACAGGAAGACAGAATTATGAGCACAAGCAAACATAATTTCTACGGCCCAACCCCATGGGTGATTCAAGAGCCGCTTTGTACAGAAGCTATTGCGCTATCAACTCCTGCTAACTTGCCGCCGATCACCGGAATTATTCGGCTCTTGGGTAACGACTTAAACTTTACACCTGCAATGGTAGCTGCCCGAGCAACCCGGTTTGGACAATGGTCACTTGAAAATTACACAACGGATGATTTTGATAGAGAAGAGAACTTACAGCCAACGCCAAGATTACCAGACCCAAGAGGCTTGGAGCCCACAGGATGGCTTACAAGCGATATCATGGACGCTGTCACGACTCACTATAACCAATTCCACCCAGAGGCGGAGATATTTTCGGTCTCGCTTACAGCCTTATTGGTCGTCACCGGTGATCCTTCACACCTCGCACAAAGCCGATTAGGTGCCAGGTTTTGGATCTTTATACAGTCGAATGTCCAGGCAAATCACCCCGGTAACCACTGGTGGATCTCGATAGTTGACCGGGTTAAAGGGCACTTATTCAGTCACAACAGCCTTAGAAATCTTGGCGATCCTAGCATCCTCTTCGATGTCTTGAAGCCTATCTTTGAATCACCCGTAGTCCAGAATATCGCCGGGTCAGCGGCAACATTGACTCTCCCGGCGAATACGGTGGTGGATGTGCCGCAACAACAGAACGGATATGATTGCGGCGTTTACTCAGTGAGAACGCTAACCGGGTTCCTGGAGGAGCTCGCCCAAATTCAGGGACCCGTCCCAACAGACGGGGAAAGTCAAGCCGCGAGATCATACATACCAGAAAATTGGTCCTCCACGGAATACCGCGGGGCTCTTCGAAATTCCTTTCCGGTAAGCCCGTATTTTCGCAACTGTTTGGTCTCCCAAAATCGATATTGAGCGGGATTTAGATTCGGCCTCTGCAAGGAGCCAATGCTTCCACTACCCTCAAACTACTCAACAATCTCATCACTGCGCTATCGCATGCTAATCACCACCATGATCTGGAGCGGGCAATGTGGCACCTTGACAATGCGGGCGGAATCCTTCTTCAAATGAACTCTCTGCCAGTAGACAATTTTCCTCCTAGCTGTCTATGCCAGAGTCAAGATAACAGGTGCGGTTTCTCCGTAGTGCCCGTCCCACCAGGCTATAAGGTTGTGCTCATGAGGTACGTCCCCACTCACCCTAACCCCACCGTTCAAGAGCTCACATCCATTAGTGACTCAATCCTCTCGGGGGGCTCTTGGACGAGAGTTCAATACCTCCCTGTCATGCGGCAGTATTTGGCGGCTTACCAAAGCGCTTGTGAGCACAGTCGTTTCTTCACCTTTTCACAGCTAACTTGATTTTAGTGATGAGATTAAATAGGAACAACCGACTTAGCAATTTTGAGAGAGAAGAACTTCGTGATAAATATCTGATTCTAGCTTCCGATACCGCTCAGGTATTAGTTGGCAACCGAATAGAACATGTCGGAAACCCCCCCTAGGGCTTTGCCCGAGTAGGTTTCCTCCCTGGTGACAATACTGATAAAATCATTGAAATTCTGGAAATAAATTCGAAAATATATGGAGGTGATACCATCAGGTTACCCGGAGTGTCATACATAAGGATAAACGACCAAGTCTGGGTTTGGATAACAAAGTCTCTCCCTCGGCCAGCTGCTGAAAGATGGCGCACCGCCCCAACAATGAGGGGCGCCGCCCTAGCATTAACGGGAGTGATTTTCACGCAGCCTTTGACAGACCCGATATTCCGCTCATGCAAAACAGAGGCACACGGCAAATGAATAAATAAACACGTGCGAAACGGAACTGAAACTGGCTCAAACTGGCATGTTCCATGAAGCCCGGTGGTGTTGTGCGTAGGGCCAAGGAGATGGGATAGGGTATGAGCTGAAGCGGTATTCCACGCTTTTGGTTTGGATAGGTGCCGGTAAGTTGGTGGCGTAGTAGGTAGGGTGTGGGTTATCACGGGCCTTGGCAGCCCTACGGAATGTGCTGTGTTTTGCTTCTGCTCCTGCTCCACTTTGCTATTCACACGGTGGAGGATCTGGAGGATGGATGAGTGGATGGGTGGATGGGTGATAACGCTGGTATCAGAGTATGAGGTGCCGTGAGGCAGGCGGTATAGGATAGTGCTGTATCGGATCGGGTGGTGCCGTGTAGGCCATGACATGGTACAGCACTCGTACAGAGCTAGAGTCTGGTACCCGATAGTAAAGTACTAGGCCAAAAGGATCCGTACGATTGGTGGTTACTGCGCGACACCTCAAAACACCCCACTCCTACAATCAACCACCCCTCAACCACGATGCCTCCACACAAGACAGGCTACCTTACAGAGTTTGAGAAAGGGCAAATAGTTGCTCTGAGAAAAAAAAGAAATCTCTTTTGGAGAGATTGGAGAGCTCTTAAACCGTCCAAAGAGTACTGTTCAAACTTTCCATGACTACTTCCAAAAGAGGGGTGATACAAAAAACCTCCCTATACCTGGAAGACCCAAAATTATCGATTCCAGAACCCAATGCCACCTAGTCAGAGAGTCTAAGAAGGCACGCCGCCAGACTTTATTAGAATTGCGCAATGATGTTGCACTACATTCCTCCCTCCAAACAGTCAAGAGAGCTTTAGCCTCAGTCAACATAAAGAAATGGAGAGCTAGGAAAAGAGCTCTTCTAAAGGATGAGCATGCTGTTAAGAGGTTAGCTTGGGCAAT